CGCGCGGCCGCTGGTGCAAACGACACTGCAGTTTAGGAGCACTGTGAGGTACACTTCACAATTCTGATTTGTTGAGGCAAAGAAGGGCTGGCAGCTGTTACATTTCCTGAATGGTACGTTCATCCCGGACGAGACGTTTTGGACAACACTTACGGGCAATAAAGAAAGTAAGTTAACAAGTTTCTACAAAACAAAATCAATCTCACATTCAGCATTCCCAGTTCCTGGTGGAACAAGCGCTAAAAGGTGGATGAAGTTTGTCGAAGATTACAGATCAAAACACACATCAGAAGTTGATAAATACATGGAAAAGAAGTTGCGTGACGCTAGCATGCACTATTATCTGGCAAGACATCAAGTATGGTACGGTGAATGTGGTGGTAAGTGAAAATTATTTCCGTAAGTGTGCTTCGACTAGCTACTTTTGTTTTTTAGGCAAACTTGTGACCGCTTCTTGCGTATTCGGTGTGGATGACCTTGCCAACATACTGAGACAACCACATTTGATTGCTCATAAAATGTACCTTGACTTTCAGCCTGCAGCATTCTTTTGCGTTTTGAAGGTATCTATGCATATTTATGATTCGCACCAGTCTAGTGATGAATGCAATGCAGGAAATTCGCGAAAGGGAGAACAACCCAAAGCCGCTCAATCTCACTCTATATGCCGAACTGCCGCAAGTGGAATTGAGCTCTGGAGTGCCGTACGAAAAATTGAAGCATCCTCTGTGGATGGTGTGGTAGTTCATTGTCGCTTGATTATTGTCAGTTTTAAAATCTCTAGTTTTCTATTGCACATATTCAAATTTGTTATCCTTTATTGGCTCTTTAGAATATAACGGGTTGAAAAACATACTTCGCTTATTGTTAATCTGTGATATTGTTTGTGTTAACAAATGAACACTGATATATATGTACATGTTCGCTTCATTCAAAGACTGCTTCAAACAGACGTACAATAAAGTTAAGAGATAAGAAATTTCAAAATAGATGCGTAATTGATCTCCCCACTGTACTGAAGTTGTTATGAGACAACATCGAAGAGCTCACAAACAAGCAAAATCCGAGCAAAAAAGGCAGTGTTTAAAAGCCACATCATTGTTATATGTAAAAAAAACTTGTATTCAATAATCGTATTAAACCAAGAAGAGATTTCTCTGATAACATCCTACAATCTGTCTCAACCATTTCGTTGAAAAAGCTTGCCTGAGAATTATTATAATTCAGTAAAAACAATGACAGCGTACAGCTCTTGACAGCTCTTATTCGGACAATTTGTTATTGGTCAATCTCTCAAAAAAAA